ACCGAGGCCCCCCCAGGACTAAAGGCCCCCCAAGGCTCGTGATGGCAGCGGAGCCCGTGTTGAGCCTCTTCCAGGGCCCCGTCTGGCAGATGGTGGCACTGAGGGCCACGGCCACACTGGGACAGCAGCGTCCCCCTTTGTCTGGGCCCCACTGGCCCCTCAGGCTTCCTCCTCCCCAACCTCCAGCCCTGAGCAGGGGACCATGTGGCCCATCCCGCTGTGCCTCCTCAGGGTCGCTCAGGAAGCCCTCTGAAAATGGAGGAGCTCCACGAGCCAACGGGAAACCAGGGGCCCTCAGTGCACGAGGAAACGTTAGACCCTGCGCTTCTTAGACTCCGTTTTTGTTTCCGCTCCAGCGTGAAAGTCACCGATTCCCATCAAGGTAGAAAAGGGAAAACCCACGTCGCCACCTTAGTCATTACGCGGCCCCTCCACCCCCCACCCAGCAGCCGCCAAGGGTGGCCGCCGTCTCTGCGGGCCTCGCCCCTGTGCGGCCCGTCGCCCTGACGGGGGGTCTGACCACCGTGCTGCGTCTGTCCCCCAGAGGGCCCGAGTGGCTGGTTGACTCGGCTTCCTAGTTCCCCGCTGGGCCCTGGCACTGAGTGACGCAGCCGGAGGATAAATGTCCAGAGGGGAGGACCCAGCCGGCGGGCAGACCTGAGCGCTGACTGCCACGGCCCGGCTCCAAAACCCCGGGAAATGCCACGTGTGGATGCGGGCGCTGGGTGGAGGGGCGCAATCCTGGAGACGGAGGGAGGCGGGCAGGGAGGGAAGGCGAGCTGGCCAGGAACGCTCCCCGCTCCCCCCGCAAGAGGCTGCGTGTCCCTGCCCCCAGCCTGTGCTCGTCCGTCCTCTGGTCTCACCCACTGACGCCGGGCCGCGGCTCGGCCCCCATGTGCTGCCATCGAGCCCCTCGCTCTCTGGTGTTCCCCGCCCCCGCGTGGCCCGAGAAAAGTCCACTGTGGGCTTGTCCCGAGAAAGCTGTCGTCTGTGTGGCTAACCGAGAATACCCGAGGGTAGAAAAACACCACGTGAAAGAGTTCGGGGCACATTTTAAAAACTCCTCGTGCAGTGGATGTTCTGGAAGCTTCTCTCCCAAGCAGACGTGGGGAAATGGCCCCAAGCACCCAACGTGCCACAAATCACGTGTGGGTCAGCCCCCCTCTGCAACCTTAAGTCTTCTGTAGATGCTAGGACTGCTCACGATACATCCCAGTCCCTTGATTAGGAAGTCAGATGTGAGGCCACAGAGCACAGAAGGTGCTGGCATCTCAGCAGGGGCGTGGCTGGGGCAGGTGCATGGCTCAGCGACACGGGGCCAGCCTGGGGGCCTGAGGGCCGACCAAGCAGCTCCATGGCCTCCCTCAGTCCTCACCTGGCCAGGAGCTTGAGAGACTGGACCTTCCTGGAGGCAAGAGGGGGAAGGGATTCGTTCCAGGAGCCTCCCCCACTGTCAACCCGCCTTTCCAGGAAGGCGCGCACAACTCTGGGGGCCACACCGGCCCTGCGGGTGAAGACAAAGATTCTTCTGGAAGCACGGGGTCCCAAAGGGACTGACACGGGCACACAAGCCTGAGGACACTCGAGATCCCTCCGGGTGAGGTGGCTGGTGTCGGGGAGGCCTGGCCGGTGATCTGGCCTCTGTTTCCTGAAGGTCACAAACTCGTCCCCCGACAACATCAGCGACGCCTCCCTCCGGGAACGGTGGTCAGCCAGCAGCAGGGGTCAAGGGTCACGCCTGGGTTGTCGGAGAGGCCGGGGCACCGTGTTCCCAGCAAGCTCCTCTTCTGGGATGACCGTCGTGAGGGTGGGGGCACCAGTGTGAGCCCGTGTGTGCGCCGGCCAGGGGAGGGCCAGCGGGTCCTTCCCAACCCCCCACGTCCTGTCCAGAGCCCTGTCTGCTTCCGGAGGCTTCCCTGGCACGTTGGTTTGGAACCTCTGCTGGATCTCACACCTTTGCCCACATCTCCTACTTAGTTCCGCCCAGGGATGATGGGAACGGGCCCCGGGCGCCCTGCACGGCCACAGCCCCGACTCTGTGGTCCATCTCCACACCCCCCGCGCCCGCCCGGAGCCGTCCACCAGGGGCGCACGAGGACACGGTGGGGAGGAAGGAGTTGAGCCCTGCCCAGCTCCGTGCTCCGAACGCAGACACCCCCTCCCCGCTCCTGCGCCCGTCCAGAGCCGTCCACCAGGGGCGCACGAGGACATGGTGGGGGGGGGGGTGGCGGTGGCAGTGGGAAGAGTTGAGCCCTGCCCAGCTCGGTGCTCTGACCCCAGACACCCCCCAACCTGCGTGCCCATCTGCCAGGCCTGACCCAGTGCTCCCACCACCTTCTTTCTCCTGGCTGCTCGAAGGCCACGGCACTGACCTGACGGGGAAATGGGCCTTGAACTTGGTCTGGAACATCCTGGCCAGGATGACCAGCAGCAGCACCAGCAGCACGCTGGTCGCCGTGAACGCCACGACCTTCCACGTGGTCAGGAGGGTCTCGTGAGTGCTGGGCCACGTTTGCTCTGCGGGGAGAGAACAGAGTGGCGCCAGAGGCCGAGCGGGCACGAGTGTGTTTGCTGGATGGATCTGACCTGGGGGGGCTCCGCAGGCAGGCTGGTACTGCCCCAGGTCAGACCCCCCGCACCCCAAAGTCCGTCCCCAGCGTGGCCTCTGTGCGGCTGCCGGCAGGTACGGAGGGCGGACAGCCTGGTGCGCAGTGAGAAACACACCTGCTTCTCTGGCAGAGAACAGGGGTCACTCTCCCTGGGCACCTGGGGCAGGGGGGTGGGCTGCGACTGTCGGCCGTGCTGGAGAGAGGGACGGGGGGTAAAGGGATGTGTCCTCCACGGCCTCTCATCCACCTCTGACCGTCAACACGTCTGCCAGGAGGAGAAGGCAGGAGCGGCCCTTCCGGGGGAGTCCCCATCCCTGGGGCCCCGGCCCCCCCCCCCCCCCCCCCGTGTAACGGGTTCCCATCCAAGGGTCACCAGATGTCCCAGGTTAATAAGCGCTTCCCCCACATACAGCGGCCAGGGGACAGGTGCTCTGGCAGGAAACCCCAGGGCGAGTGGGTGGGACCAGATGGGCGAGAGACCGAGATTGTGGTCACTACCCTGGGCTCCTGGGACCGGTGGTGGGTTTGCTAGCATCTTGCTGGTAACTAGGAGGCCCCCAGGTTTGCAAACGGCCTGCGGCTTTCCAAGTGGGCACAGGTCTTACCTGCAATTACACCTTCGTGTTCTACACGCATCAACTGGAAGAGAAAGGCCGGGCTGGCGCCCAAGGGCCGGGGGCCTCCTCAGAGGGAGGGACGGGGCTGGGGGAGACCCCGTGCACAGAGGGCCGCCCTGCCCCCGGGCGGGGAAGCATCTGGGGCCCCAGCGAGGAGTTTCCGCGTCACGGGTG